ATACAAAAATAATAAATGCATATTTATGTTAGATTTCGGCATCGCTCACAGCTGTATTTACATATGCATGTGTATGTACGTATGCCACGGTGTAGGTGTATGTATGGGTGTACGGCAGAAGCGACGCCTTTAGTATACAGAAATGCATATGTATGCGAATGCTCGTATTTACATTTGATTGAAACTCATTTGATGCGAGCTTCTGTTCACTTATTCACTGAAATTTTAAAATTGTTTATACACAAATGAGAACTATTGAATGGACTGTAAGCACACGCATATGCATACATATCAATGTGGGTATGTACGTGAAAATGAAGTTAATGAAAAAGTGTTGGAGCACTACCATGGCCGGTTGTTCAACGTATTCTCATATGCATACACATATATATATATATTAATCTCTAATAATATATAAATAAACAGTTCTACACTTGTCGGTTAGATTTGGCTGATGCTTGAGCTCATCTCACGCTTGTCGGAGTCGTCGTAATTGACCGCGTTTAAAACCCGTTCGATACGTTTTAACACTCGACAGCAAAATTATTTCTGGTATATCAGAATGCGTTTCCGCCCTAAAAGCTACGCGGAATACCCACCCATGGCGCATGCGTTGACAATCGTTGCTTCAGTGCTGCCAATTTGCAGATGACAGTTGCAGCACTGGTGCTGCCAATTTACACAATCGAATCAAAGTCCCTACAGCCGCTAAAACCAAAACGCACTAATAATAAAAAATAAACAAAATATATTATAATTATTATTATTATACTTAGCAATTGAAGTCGAAAAATAATTCAACCTGAGATAGATTGCAAGGAAATATAAATAACCTATTTGCGTATACATTTTTAATACTTTTTACAAATTTGATCAATATTGTGGGCAATACTTATGATATGTACATATACAGGTTTTTTTTCTTAAAGTCTTTTTACATATTTAAAAAGTCTTATGTTGTGATCGCCGACTTTTAAAAGCAACTTGAGATGGTGAACACACTTCGCCTTTGAAGGCATCTCTAAAGCATACTTAAGAGATAAGTGATGTCGACTTAGGATCACTTAGCATAGAGATGGAATATATATTCAACTGCCATGGAGGACCTGTATCAATCAATAATTTGAGACGCATAGCCATATAATGTGGCAACAAAACCTACATATACCTTACCCTTCTCTAGATTATTACATATGACCGTTGGGATAAATAGTAGAAGTGTGTGATTCGATTGCATATAAAAATGTATTTTGTCTTATTTTTCATCGCTTATGTATATATATATGTAGACAACAATGCACAATTATTACAAAAAGATATTTTAGTATGTACATATTAAACTGACCTAACGTTGACCGGTTGTACAGATAACAGTTGTATAATCCTCAGATATATATGTATTTATATATATGTGTGCTTTCATATATTTCATTATATATTGTTGCTTGTATAATTTGTTGTGTCCCGTTTGCATAAGTAGTCGAATTTGTTATTGATTTTATGTTTTCTTATGTTTTCTCTTGGCTTAAAGTATGAGAAAGAGAGAGACGTGTGAGACGGAGATGTGTCCACGAGAGAAAAAGAGAGAGAATGCGGGGTAAGCTTGCGTCCGAAAGAGACGCACTGCTATCTGCAGCTGAAATCGGTTAGGAGCTACAAATCTATATGGTATATTACTTATATATTTGCACTAGAGGCTAGTAAAATAATAATATAATTCTGGACCGCTACATTTGTGTGTGAGAGGGTGGATGAAGGCGTTTGGGTCGGGGAATGATTCAGTGGCGTTCCATGAACCTTAACCTAGTTTGCGACGTCTGGTCGACGAGGGCGTTGGCACAGTTGGGGGCGTAGCCGCAAGTGCCATAACAGGCAGAGCAACGGGTGAGCCATGGCCCGGATACTGTAGATGCTGCACCACAGACAGCTGGGGTTGCTGCTGCTTGAGCAACTTGGCTGCCGCATGCGCCTCGGCCGCCACCACCGGCTGTAGCAGATCGTTGCCACCTCTGCCCACGCCACATCCGCCCATGCCTGCACCCGCATTTCCATTATCACAATCGTCGTCATCGGAGATCAAGGAGATGCTTAGGTCGCTCGACAGCTTCAGAGAGATGGGCGCAGGAGGTGACGGCGCCACCATGGGCGCCACCTTGGCTCGCATTGCCGGCGAAAGTTTCTGAAGCTGCTCCGGCAACATATCATTCGCGTATTCTGGCACGCCGCTGGCAAGTCCTTCTCGAAGCTTGCTCAGCGACAGCTCATAGATGCGATTTGCGATCACCGTATGCACGGTTGTCTCATCCGGTAGCGCAGCCGTCTCTTCGTTGGGCACATCGACCCTCAAGAAGCCATCGTAGTGATTTCTTGGGGATGCGGTGCTCGGTGTGCTGCAGGTGCTGGGATTGCTGTTGAAGGACAGCTCACATGGCTGTCGCCGTCGCTGACGTGCTTGGCAATTGGCTGTGGTTGAGCTACGCGGAACCAGCGACACGGTCACCTCCTCGATGGTATCGGAAAAGGTCAGTGGCGCCAGGGGCGGCGGTGAGCGCATCAGCTGACGCCCGTTATGGTTCAGCCTGACATCTTCGTCATCGCTGGTCAAGACTATGCTCTCGTTTAACGCAGAGGCTGTGACTGCTGCGCTCGGTGTAACGCCTCCAGGGCGCTTAATTTTGCGAAACAAGCGTCTGGCATCAGGCATCAGGTGCATCGACGTCGAGTTCTGCGCCGGCGCATAATCAACCGGCACTAAAGTGATATTCGGTACTTTTGATAACTGAAAACTTGCAAGCGAGGCAGATGCTCCATGGCGTAAGAGCCCATTGGCCAACACAGGCTGCACTGGTGCAGTTGGCTGCGATATGTCATCTTCGTCGCCGTCGTCATCAGAGAGCAGGTCAATGGTGATGTCAGCAGGTAGTGCAGCGGCCACGTGACGCCGCGATAGCATCAGATGGCAGCGTCGCTTGCTGCGATCAGTCTTCGAGGCGGCCGAGTGGGTCATGTACAGCTGCTGACGTTCCCTCAGCCGCTCCATCCATTTGCTGATGCGGCGCCTAAGGCGCCTGTTATCGAACAGGCTGGATGATATATAGAATGGTTCGGAATGTTTGGTATTCATTGCTGCGAAACAAAATGTAAGCCGATTTATTAAATTCCCATCATCGCATTGCATATTCTACTCACTGCTGCTTCTGCGGCTACCGATTTTAGTGTGATTATAGCGATTTGCAAGCGCTGAGCATCGCCGCCCAGTGCTGGCTGAATTGGTGCAACCCACCCAGGTTTAGCACCAAGTACAGTTAGTTGTTGCCGCAGTTGCAACTTGCATAATTGCGTCAAGTCCACTTGGCGTTTGGGTAACGAATGGGCACCAGTTAGCTAGAGTTGCTGCTTTTTTCTAATTACCATCTTATTTATGAAATTGTTTTGTTGAATTTCGTTGTTTTCGTCGCAGTTTATCGGGTTTGCGTTCAGTTTGTGTTGCCTTTTGTTTTTGTTGTATTTTTTTCGTGCTGTTTGTTTTGGCGTAGGGATGTTAAAAACAGCATCGATGTCAATGTTATCGATATATCATTGAGCAACATTACAGCAATATGCAGACATGCAACCAAGCGCAAGGTTCTTGTCTTGGCTAAGCAGTTGTTTGGCGGGCGAATTTAAATCGGAAGTAATGGAACAGTTTGACAATTTACTAATTCAATGTCCAAAACTCATGAGACACAAATGGCGGATTGGCTTAATCAACAAATAATCAATTTAATATTACAGAGTATGTATATAAGTACATCAGTTCAGTTTGCAGCAAATGTTTAAGTCGCCAAGACCTGTATAGCGGTCTCTCGGTCTCTCGGTCTGTCGGGCTGTCGGTTTGTCGGTGACAATGATCAGAGCTTCGGATGAGTACTGATTTGTCAGTTCTCATGCAAGGCTCAAGACGAATTGGCCCGAAAGTCAGCCCGAAGCCAGGTTGCACACAGAACGACAATTAGCAAAGGATGCATGCCAAGCACGACAGCCAGTCCGAACGAGAAGTTAAAAAAAAAAATTGAGCACAAATTGGCGCCACCCACAAATGTTGAGCTGCTTCCACGATTGGGCACATGCGCTTTTGTTTTGAGTGGGATTCCGGAGCTTTCACTCAACACATGTGCTTTTAGCCAGCTTTTTGGCTTCAACAAGTTTTAGCTTAGCCTCAGTCGGCATATAGCCGTTCTCACTGGAGGGCGCTAGGCTGTTGAGTCATTTTTTTTGTTTAATCAAAACACGATTTTCGAATTATTATGGATATATTAGGATATAAATATGTTTACTCAAAATAATGTAATGAAAATGAATAAAATAATAATAATGTTAGTTAGAGCATTAACTAAATGTAATCGATTTTTAAACATATGCCAATTGACTGATTCATATATTGAATTTTGAAGATCCTGCTACGATATTGAAAATATGTTCTAGCCAGACCAAAAGTATACATAAAGCTTGAAAGCGTTCCAATCTGTTAAGTGCGTCTTTAAAGGCATTCAGCGTGGTCTCTTTTAATTCAGAACTGCGAGTCAGTCTTGCATCGGCATTGGCACCACAAGCGGAGGCAGAGGCGAAGGCTAATGTCTACTTTGAATATTGCAAGCGTCGGAGTTAGTCTACCATTTAGCTTAAGGGAAACGGCCCACGCGGCAAAAAAGCGAATGGGACGCACTGGGCGGGTGGAGCGGATGGTGCGGGCTTCGAGGAGGAGACAGCGTAAGACAATAGACAGGAACCACAACAAAAATTATAGACTCAACTTGGCTTGACTTGCCACTTGGCCGCCCACAGCTCCAGTTGCCAGCTTCGGGTCTAGCTGGAGCGGCACCCTCTGCCAGCTGCCCCGCCCGCAACTCCAGTTGCAATGCGCTTTGGCCGCTTAAATTCAACAAGCGCGAAGAATAAAGCATTTGCCGCGTTTAGGCGCACGCAGACCTCGACACTGACTATGACTCCGGCTCCGGCTTCGACTCTGACTCCGACACCGACACCGACTCCGACACCAACTCCGACCCCGAAGGACGACCTTACTGGCAATGGCTTCCTGCCTCCGACTTGACTTCGGCTCAGTGCCGGCTGTGCCGGCTGTGCATTAAAATGAATTTCTTTTGTATGCGCTGTGCTTCGCAACGGTAAGACTCGAGCCGTAGTCGATTTGAATGAATGCACGTCCTTGCTGTTTTTGTAGCGGAGCTCAGACCAAGGCTCAGGAACAGCCGCCTACTCTGCTCCTCATCTCTTTTTTATCCTTTCTGCTTTCTCCACTATTCACTCTTCACTCTCCTCTCCACACCCTCCTCTCTCCCCACTCCCCTCTCTGTGCCCTCATCAGTGGCGCTGAAGTGCTGGCACATCGATATTGCCCTCGCCCTTGCCGTCCTCGTCGAGTTTGCTTCTTGACGTCGTTTGGCGGGACGTCTTTTAAGTGTTTGCATTTTTCAGGTGTTGAATTTTCATTGTACTTGTCTTTGCTGTTGCCGCACTTGTTTTGCTTTGCTTTCTTTCCCTCCCATTCTCTTCATTTCTTTCTTCCCTTCTTTTTTATTTTATTCTTTCCTTTTCTTTTTCTTTTTTTTTTTGTATTTTGGCATTACGCCAAATGTGCAAAGCCAACAAAATACCAAAAGATTGCACATTGCACCTGTCTTTTGGACGGCATTTTGGTTTACGGCTTCAGTCTGCCCAGCTTTTGTGTACGTGGCCAAATGTGTGTGTATGTGGGTGTGTGTGGGCGGCTTTAGGGTAATTCTATGACATCTCCTTGTAGCTGTTTGCTCTTATATCAGTTGCTGTTGTTGTTTTTATGGATGCACCTGCTTAAAGCTGGCGCCGTTGTCATCAACTGCCCGACCGGTTAGTGCCCCAAGCCACCTATACCCTGTTTGGGTAAAATGCGCCATAAGGCTTGAAGAAGGAAAAATGTCGGAAGAATAATTCGGAAAACTATCGACTACGCTTACATCCTCAGCTCACTTAAGTTAGTCTAGCCCCATCTATCGCCAGTTACACGTGCACATACACTGTAGGGCAACTGGCAGTCGAGCATGCCCAACGAGACAACAACTGCCTCGAGATTGCGGTTTTGCGGTGTGTTGGGCTAATATAGCCGTTTAGCCTGCATTACCATTTTGTCAGTCGTTCGGCTGGCAGCGAAATGTTATGAAAAAATATTTATGCATATATGTATGTAAGCACATATATATACATACATATTGAGTATATATGATATAATTTGATAGATGGGCTATGGCAAAAAGCCGGCCAAGATTCAATTAAGTCTAATTGGTGATGAAAAAGCATAAATTTAGCCAGTGCTTTCAGTTTGAATGACATCTGGACTGCACCTGCAGCTACACCTGTGCCCGTCCGGCAGGCATTCAGCAGCGGTAAGTAGAAATTTGCGTCAATAGGATTGTTAAAGAGGCTTAAGTTAAATGGGAAAACTTCCGAATCAATGAACCGCAAATTGCATGCGAAATGCCAAAACGAAAATGTCGCCGACCAACCGACCGTTTGTTGCTTGTATGTGTGTGTTTGTATGTGTCTATGTGTCGCTCATACATATAAGAATGACAGAGTGAAACGATCCGTTCGCCTTGAAAACTGAACTGAAATCAAAGTCGCATATCTTAAGAGCGGCTTAGCATTCACATAATTCTAATAACGTTAAAGAACTTATGACTACACACACAGATGCACGCAAATACACACACACACATATACACATACACCTATTTCGAGGTAGTGAGTTTGCCGTTTTGTTTGTAGAAAAAACCAATCAGAGTTTAGATTTTATTTAGTTTCGTGGCTCACTTCTGAGCAGTCTGCCTGATGGACAGCGGGCAACTAGCTAGTTAGGAGCAGGATGTTGACAGATTCACTCGATTGATACGGAGTCGGTATTGTGTCTGCATCTGTGCTGCCACTGCAACAAAGTGATGCAACAATGCTGCAACACGCTCTGGATTCAAAAGCTCGAGAGGCTCTAGCCACAAGTATAAACACACAACTGTCGCTTTTATAGGGTATTTTCGAAATGGTTCACATCAGCAACTCGAGTACACTCACTCGTCCTTAATGGCAATTTCATTTCCTTGAACAAGTTATAAAACATGTGTGTGTGCGCGCGCGTGTGTGTGCGTGTGTGTGTGAGTGTGTGTGCGCGTAAGCAAGGGGTTGGTGGGGGGCAACAACAACGATGACAGGGAATTCAATTTCGCGTATTTTCTTCACTTAATCCTTTTGACAAGCCATCAAAGCCATACAGACATACATACGCACATAAATACATACATACAGACATATAGACATACAGACGTGCATACGTACATGCATAAGCATATTGATGGCAGAGCCTGGCTGCCATTTATTTATGAACAGTAAACAGACATATATGAATATATGGAGCATAAACTGGTATTAGGCGAGTATACATAAGCGCTCGTTCATCCCTAGATCAAAGACGAGCCCAGGCAGGGGATAATCGAAGCAATTGCCACTTAACTAGTCCCATTCGGAGGTGTTGCTGGCTGGGCTAGCGTATTGCATCAATAATTATATTGTTGGCAAGCCAGATATATAATCGAGCCATATCCCAGGCCCAAAGCCAGCTATAGCCCATAACCCATGGCCTAGACGAGTAGATAGCAAGAAAGGCCCGAAATGTATACATACATATGTATATCGAGATATTTTTGACAGGCACGAGTCGCGCTGCGATGGGAACTGGGCTGGTTTAGTTTGGTTGACTCACTAGATGCTCCGAGTGGTTGCACAGTGGTGCACTCATATTGGTGCTGGATCGAAAAAGAGAAAGTTGTCTTGCGGAAATAGACTCGTTTCCCATTCCTCTGAATGGCTACATACATTGTTATTGACAGTGTTATTTTGACTAAATCAAGCGATGTGTAAATTAAGTTGAATTTCAATCACGCTGCCTACGCTGCCAGCCTCCCCGAGCCTCTGCCATGGCGTGTCTATCTATTTGAACGCATATGATGTACTGTGGGAGTTGACAGGCTGCCAAAGAGGCGTTCCACTGTGCCTGCCGAGGGTACCTTTAAGCCAGATGCTGTGTGTTTGTGTATTTGTTTATTATCCTTGGTAATGCATGCAAAGATGCTGCAAAGTAGCTTAATACTTTATGCACGCAATGAAAGGACTTTTTACGATCGCATTATACTTGTAGGTACTTATATTTTTGTAGATATTCCACTCGTCTCGTCATTCGATACAAGCAGATAATGCGCAAGTGTCTGCATGTGTGCATGTGTGCATGTGTGCATGTCTGCATGCATGCCTCCATATATATACATATGTATGTCTATGTTCCCTATGTATGTCGCTTGTTCCAGCCAGTTGGGCTTCGTTTTCGTTTTCGTTTTCGTTTTTCAGATTCTGGTTTTGGTCTGCGGACGCACTTGCTGCTATTCCTATCGCCTTTTACACAAGGGTGCATGT